TTGAAACCTAGAGTCAGCTATTTGCAGTAGAGCAGTCGAAAGATTATCCGACACAATAACGGTTGACTGTAATCTTAAATCTCATTATTATTATTATTATTGTTATTATTATTATTATTATTATTATTTTTATTCTTATTCTTATTATTATTATTATTATTATTATTACTATTATTATTATTATTATCATTATTATTAATATTAATATTATTATTATTATTATTATTATTATTATTATTATTATTATTATTATTATTATTATTATTATTTTTATTATTTCGATTATTTTTATTATTATTATATTTTTTATATTTGTTTTATTACTATTATTATTATTATTATTATTATTATTATTATTATTATTATTATTATTATTATTATTATTATTATTATTATTATTATTATAATTATTATTATTGTTATTATTATTATTATTAAGTTTATTATTATTATTATTCTTGTTATTATTATTATTATTCTTGTTATTATTATTATTATAATTACAATTATAATTATAATTATAGTTATTATTATAATTATTATTATTATTATTATTATTATTATTATTTTTATTCTAATTCTTATTATTATTATTATTATTATTATTATTATTATTATTATTATTATTATTATTATTATTATTATTATTATTATTATTATTATTATTATTATTATTATTATTACCATTATTATTATTATTGTTATTATTATTATTATTATTATTATTATTATTATTATTTTTATTCTAATTCTTATTATTATTATTATTATTATTATTATTATTATTATTATTATTATTATTATTATTATTATTATTATTATTATTATTATTATTATTATTACCATTATTATTATTATTGTTATTATTATTATTATTATTATTATTATTATTATTATTATTATTATTATTATTATTATTATTATTATTATCATTATTACCATTATCATTAGCATTATTTTGTATTATTATTATTATTGCTAATGTTATTATTATCATTAGTATTATTATATTATCTCTGATAAATATGCACACACTGGCATTTTGTAATAAGTGTGTGCATGCAGGTGTGTGAGTATTTCGAATGCTTCGAACTGTTTGTTTTTTAGGCTGTTGCCCTTGTTAGAGATGCAATATGGCAATATGCGAGTGCAACAAATCGCATCTTGTGCCAGGTACGTGGAATGCGGCGATTTGAATGTCTATATAGTGCTAAATGCATGTGTATTTGTATGACAGCCGCCTCGAAAGGTAATTTTGCAAATCTACTCATTGCCGGGGCATACATAATGTGTCGCTGTTCCGTAATTGTTTTATGGGCACGTTTAGCGTCGCTTTTGCTTTGACCTCAGCTTTTGGCAGCGTTTGACAAAGACAAACAAGACAGGCCAATCGGTAAATTTGGCCAACAGACACACATAGACAACATTGAAGCCGGCTACCAGTTGTCTTGGTCGTTTCAAGTAAACCCCCCTTCTGAGTGACAAACTAATCAATGCAAACTCTTTGATGATAGATAAAGAAAAAGACACATATTTAACAGGCCGAACACTAAATACTCTTGTTTGGCAGCTAACTTAAATATCGTTAACAATTGTAGGCAAGCATTTATAAATATACTAAATAAATCAATGGATCATCAATGGATCATCAATCAATCTAAAACATAGTTTTTTTTTCCTAATTAACAATCAGAGAAAAGATGTAACATATTACATGTAAAGTGCTTAGATAAAATTGTTATATTAATAAAAAAGCTTACAAATAGTTTGGGAAAGAAACCAATTCGAGTCCGGAATTACAATCAATTTTTTACTATAAGCCGTTCCTTAAACAAACCTGTTGCTCCAAAGGAAGGTCAACCAAACCCGAAGCGAATCATTTCATTTTCAAAAATAGTTTGTTCTACAGCAAAAAAACAAACTAGCTGGGCAAATTAAAAACTGAATTGTTTCATTAAAATGTGCAAAATATATGACATTACTCGAAGCTTAGACATGGAATTGATTCCAACCGAATCAACGAAGATATTTTTGGGCTTGAAATAAATTATCCACAAGCTGTTCTTAAATACAACATTTCACATTTCCCCATTTGGACTAGACATATTTGCAGCTCTGAAAATTGTATTTATCCGATGATATATGATTGCTTTTTTAATTTATAAGCCATTATGTGCTTTAAAGAGTCCATTCATCATGCCATTTGATATTTTATTATGCAAATTTAGCGACAAACTGAAGTCGTGATATTTTTTATTAATTTTGCTCATAATGTTATGCTCTCTATCTAACTAGCTGACAATCTATTGTTGGAACTTCTTTAAACTGAAAGTATTTATATATTTAGATATGATTGCAGAATTTGAATATCACAAAGAAATGTTGTCAAAGAACTAACCATTTAGGCAAAGCTAGCATATCATATCTGATCAAATCAGGTTATATATATTGTTATATAATTTTATTGTTATCATAATGAGCTGGTTATTTTATGCTGTCTAGCAGCAGCAATGCCATATCTGAAATTCAAACGAATCTGTTAATTAGGCGCTAGCCATAATTACGGATTAATACAAAAGAACTGATGGCTATTCCATACAGTTTGAGCAACATCAACATATGTATAGATAAAATCGAATAATATAATCAAAAAAAAGCGAAAGACAACACAACTTTTTGGCTGTTTACATACTCGTATGTTAATCCGTACATTTTACACAAAATTTGGTTTCAAATATTATGCCCAAAGTCTAAAAACAAGAATCGATACATAGCCAAACCCGTTTGGCTGTCCGCGAAGCTCCACCAAATCGGGTTCCATAATTATGCAGAACTGGACATCTGCGATAGAATCATGAGTCAGTGGCATCTTATCACGCCCAGTTGGTCCAGAGCTGGGCCTGACTGAATGAAACTCTTTGTTGGGCACATTCTGTAGACTTCTATAAATATTGAGCATACTATATAACGAGATTGACGCACACGATTTGCATTTTGTTTGTAAGTTAGCTATTAAATCATGCAGTCGAAAACGAGTCCGGCGGCCATAAAGATGATTATAATTAATATTCATGCAAAGTCAAATAATGTCTCATATAAACTAAATCTTATTAGCTCTGCTATAAGAAAGAAAGACGTGAACAAACAAACTGATGATAGTCACCCATGATTATATAATCAACATTATTGATGGGACTGTCTGCAAAAGCAAAAGGTACAGCAGAGATGGAAATATTGTGTTACAAATCTTAGCTCAATTAATTGCTGAAATGCAACAAAGAAACAATATATATAAAGCTGATCAAGAACTATCAAAAGTCCTCAAATGTTCCTAAAATGTAATATAATAAATTTAATATTTGGCCAAATTTGTTTATGTATCGCAGTTATCATAGTCCCTATAGTACAGCTTAAGCTACAAATTTATAAAAATGGATAAAAAATTAAAATTAAATATGAAAAGAATTCCATATAACAACTTGCACAGAGTTGATGCTATGTATATCCGTGATATTTATTATATATATTTATAACTTATCCATTGATTTGCTGTTCTCTATGCTATATAGTCCAGCTGTTGATAACTACGGCGATTTATTCAGCATTTAAATATGCTTATCAATTCTTAAAAAGAAATAAGATACTTCTGATAATATAAAAACTAACGAATTCAATTTCAATTGTCCAGCGACCAGTTCTATAAAAAACTAAACAACAATATCATTCTAATGCAAATGTGTTGACAAAAAATGAAAATAGACAAGCGCAAATGCTGAAGACGAAAGTGCTGGCCTAGGATATACCCTGTATTAAGCTAAATGATCAATATAGGGTGTTTATATCGTCATAAGTTTAATCAAGCTATTCGCACTTATCTTATTATAATATTTATTTATATTTATTGAACAGTAAGTTTTTTAATTTTAATTACTTAGTTCTTTTTATTCTATTTTTAATAAATTTATCTGAGCTAAAATCTCTTTCCGGATCTTTTTGCAATTGTAGAGCTTGATAAGTTTGTTAAGTAAACTAAGTGAAATTAATAATTAATAATAATAATGAATAATGAATAATGAATACTAACAATTAACTAGGTAAGTATATACCCAATTGGGTCACCTAGATCTCAGCTATCGACCGACGATTAGAACAGACTCCGCGACGACACTGGGAATTTATAAGGCAAACATATATTTAATATAGATTAAAGTGTCGGAGCTGCCAATGCATTTTGAAGAAATTCAGTTGTGAAAAGTAAACGAGTTAATTTACTACTTTGCTCTTTGAGAAGACTTTATTGATTGAATGTCATTCGAAATGCGATAATTGTGTGTGCTTTAAAGACATTTATTGCCTTTTGAGTCGACGGATTTGGGTTCGGTTCGGCTACCAACCAAATAAGTTACCGAAATTTTGGAAACTGGTTTGGCCAAGCCGCTTATGACATGCTAAAAAAACAGCTGAAATCAAAATACAATCATAGAGTATATAAGTATAAGCATATACAGACAGATATAACAAAATAGTTTGCGCTAATTTGTGTTTTTAGCGACTTATTATATAAAAATTGTAAATAAACAAAAAAAAAGATTGCCGAAAGTCACCATAATTAGTGGAGGCCGTTCGGATGTCAGAGATGTTCTAATCAATGTTTTGGCCAGGCGTCGATTTGCGTGTATCTGAAAGATACATAGATACTTGATTTGTTGCCGGCATTCGCTGGGCGATGAGACAAGCCTCTCGGGACTTTGTTATTGGGCTCAGGCTTTGATTTAAATATATTAAGACAAAAGACAACAAAATAGAAATAAACCACCAATTAGCATAGACAGCGACCGTCTAGCATGTGTTTCAATATTTTTCGTATAAAAACTTGAAACCCCGGCGCCACCAACAACAGATCAACACAACGCACAGACCCTAAACATGGTAAGTTCTATGAGATTCCTTATCATATTCAAACCCTTCAACAAAATACTTCGTTTCTTTGCGTATCGCAGAAATTCTGCGTCATCGCGTTGGCACTTTTCGGCCTGGTGGCCGCCGATGTCAGTCACCTGCAACATCCGGGCTATAGCTATGGCGCCTCCGCCTCATCCGCGTCCTTCTCGGAGGGCCAAGTGGCATTGCCTGGTGGCGATGCCAGCAGCTATCAGCCAGAGCACTTGATTCCCCAAAATCTAAAGGCAGTTAATGTGGAAACAGCTTCTGCCCAAATCATTCCTGGTGGCGACTCCAGCAGCTATCAGCCAGAGCAGTTGATTCCCCAGCATCTCACGGCTCAAGAGGAAAGCGCATCTGCCCAGGTCATTCCTGGTGGCGACTCCAGCAGCTATCAGCCAGAGCAGCTGATTCCCCAAACTGAGTCGTTTAACCTTGGAGCCGATACCCAGACGCCGGAGCAGTTCATACCAGAGGCCGATCGCATTGCCCACTACAACTATATCCAGTCCCAGGGTCAGGCGGCTGCTCCGGCGGCTCAGGTAGCGACAGTTTCTGAGTCGGTCAACATTGGAGCCGATACCCAGACACCAGAGCAATTCATACCCGAAGCGGAGCGCGTTGCCCACTACAACTACGTTCATTCGCAGGGCAAGGCTGTTCTGCCGACGCCAGCTGCCGCTGCCGCTGCCGCTGTCCAAGTCGTTCCTGGCAGCGACTCCAGCAGCTATCAGCCCGAGCACTTGATTCCCCAGCATCTGAAGGCCGTTCATGTGGAAAGTGGCACCGCTGCTGTGGCTAGCGAGTCGTTCAACCTTGGAGCCGATACCCAGACACCGGAGCAGTTCATACCCGAGGCCGATCGCATTGCCCATGCCACCTATGGACAGGAGCAGCAGCAGGCGCCAGTGGTGATTGGTGCCAATAGCATTACACCTGCGCATCTGTACCAGGAGCCCGAATCGAATGGCATTGAGGAGTTCAACGCGGAGACGCACGTGCCCGTCGTGATTGGACGCGATACGATTACCCCAGCTCATCTGCAGGCCAAATACTCGGCTGGTGCCTCGGCCAGCGCCTCCTCCGGCGCTAGCACCAACTATGGCACTCAATACGGATCCAATGGCGGTTATGTTTACTAAACTTTGAATTCTCTGACCATAAATAAAATATGAAATAAAATTGAAATTCAATTGATTTGTGTTGCGCATGGACACCAAGCTCTGCAGAGTATTCACGTTTGCTGCAACCGAAGCCGAATCGACTGAAACAATCATTTTAAATGTCAAACCAATATTCAGTCAACAGTCGTCACGGTCCAATCCGGGCGCAACGATAAATCGTTTCTAGTCTAAGGCATTAATATTAATTAGTGAGATCATAGTCTTCATTACCATGGCTGGTCGAATACAAGATACGCTTGCCCAATATATATAATTTTTTATCTTTGCATTGAAGTAGACTAAAATGACTGAAATTAAAACTGTTCAAAATAACACATTAAACACTAACGGTTTAATAGTTAATTATAAATTTATACAAATATTAGTTCATTTACAAAGCTATTTGGAATTCGGTTTCATTTCGTTTACATAATCTGTTTATGTAACTTGTAATTAAATTATTTTTTATCAATTAAAAAAGTAAATTATTTCAATAAATTTGTTAAGCTAAATGCATGATGTTATAATGTTAATCCCATTAACTTTACAAATTGCATTATGTTAATTTTAACATACTGTTAAGGTTCTAATAAAATGATGAGTTTATGTACATTATTGATAGTTAAATGCTATTATACTCGATTCATTTTATTAACAGTTTCATTCTATAATATATTTTTATTATTGATGGTTAAATGTTATTTTCAGAGGTGAACTCAATTTATATGTGAGTCATGGTTCCTATACACTGTACAAACGGTAACATTCTTTCGAGCTGTTAATTGACTATCAAGTTAACAGGCATGTAACTGACCGTTAAACCAGTTTAGTTAGGTTTAACAATAATGTGCCTATAACTATTGTTGTGATAGCTAACTAGTATGTTATTCACTGTTCCCTTTCCCCCTATCATTTCCCTTGCCAGGCGCTAAAAATATGTGCAATTCATCAATCTTTGCCTGTCCTTAAATGGGCTTTCCTCCAGCTTATCAGCACAGGGGCACAAAGTAATTAAAGGAATGTTGTGGGTCTGGCTGTTTTATAAGCATCCCCAAGTTCATGAACCTTTTGGCATGGTGGCCAAAGTAAAAGTTGATCCGTGTCTGCCGCGCTGCTCCTCCTCCTCCGTGCGATGTGGCCTTATTATGTAAAGCTGCGCGCACCGCTCGTAACCTATGTATGTGAGGGTCTGTCGGCGAGTTCTCAAGGCCGGTTGTCTTCTTTTTAGAAAGTGCCCCGTAATGCCAGAGCGAGACTGGGCCAACACAGCAGTGAATCATTTTGCATTCTTGGCGCGTCGGCGGCCACGCTTGTCATGAACGGGATGCGGGCCCGATCGATCGATGATGCCAAGGTCTTCCTTGGGCATGGCCCAACTGGGCTGCTCTACCTGTTGGTGTGTGACCTCTCTTCGTTATTAACTTGTGGCAAAGGCCGAATGCAATTAATTTCTCAAATTGAAACAATGCGGCAAAAGGTTCAGCCCGGGTTCCAATAGTTCGCAGCAAAACCATAAAATCCATGACCTTCAAATCGAATAAGCTCGTGCGCGCCCTTTTGCCGTCTCCCTTTCGCGCACTCTCACTTGCACTCTCCCTCTCTCCCTCTCTCCCTCTCTCTCTCTGTCGGTCTGTCGGTCTGTCTTCATTTCTCACCTGCCTTTTCTGGCGCTAATGAGCCGCATGAAAATTAGTTGACAGACTAGTATTAAAATATCTATTAGCCGGTTAGATTTTTGGGATGATGTGTGGCCACAAAGTTGTCCACGAGCTGTGTACCAAAATCGGTTGCGGAAAAGTTTTGTAAATGCGTAAAAACTTGTTTACGCCCGTGGTTGGTTTGCTTTTATTTTTTTGTTATTTGGTTTTATTTGTATTTTTTTTTTCTTTCTGACATCTCTTTATTTATGTTTTTTTTTTTTAGTCTTTTTGTCTTTTTCTTTTCGCTGAGTGTATATTTTAAGTGGAAGCTGCAGACGTAGCCGCCGCGAGCTGCTTCTTCTTGAAATCTGCTGCAAGTTGAGTGATATTTTTTTTCGCTATAAATTGCCGGCATGCTTTAGGGATCAGCATCAGTTTCAGCGTCTAGCTCGTCCAGTACAGTCGTAGTCTCTCAGCCAACCATCCAACATGGTTAGTACGACTCAACCGTTCGTGTAATTCAGCTACTTAGCTTAATTACAATTGTTTGTTTTTTTTTTTTTTTTTTTCATACTCGATATTTATATTATTTTTATTTTTTGACTGTGCAAGTGTTTTTTGTATAATTTTATTGCTGTGCTGTGCCGTGTGTTTAATCGAATCGCAACAATGTCTTGTCTCGTCCATTGCAGAAATTCCTCATTGTGTTCGCCCTGTTCGCCTGCGCGGCCGCCGATGTCAGTCATCTGACCAAGTATCTGCCTCCTAGCCAGAGCTATGGTGCACCCAGCAACGAGTACTTGCCACCCGTGCAGCAGCAAACGTATGCGGCGCCCTCGGTCGGCTACTCGTCAGGCGGTTCATCCTACTCGACTGCTGGTGCCTCCTACTCGGCTCCGTCCGTCAGCTATAGCGCACCCAGCAGCGAGTATCTGCCTCCAGTGCAGCAGGTTTACAGCGCTCCGGCCGTGCAGCAGACCTATTCCGCACCAGCTGTCTCCTATTCGGCTCCCTCGGTGAGCTACTCCGCACCAGCCGTCCAGCAGACCTACTCCGCTCCGGCCTACCAGCAGAGCTACTCCGCACCCGCTGTCCAGCAGAGCTACTCCGCCCCGGCCTACCAGCAGAGCTACTCCGCCCCGGCCTACCAGCAGAGCTACTCCGCTCCGGCCTACCAGCAGAGCTACTCCGCACCATCGGTTAGCTACTCTGCTCCCTCGGTTGCCTACTCGGCACCCGCCTACCAGCAGAGCTACAGCACTGGCTCCTCCTCCTCCTCCGCCGGCAGCTACTCGTCTGTCGATGCTGGCACCCAGTACGCCTCCAACGGCGGCTATGTCTACAAGAAGAAGTAAGACGCTGGAAACTGTTCACCAAATCGAATCAACATAATTGTAATTAACATTTGATATGTTCTTTACTCTGCATATTCTATTCATTTGCTTTTTTTTTGTAACCTGTGTGTAAATAATAATTAAAACAAAAAACAAAACATACTATTTAAAAAATCTTTATATATGCATATATTCTCAAATCGGCCATTAGATTGCAATTTGAGTCCAGACCCTAAGCTTAATGTCTGAAATCGCAGAGCTGAGTGCATTCTCTGCGAGTCATAAGTATTCAAGCTCAAAAGCTCCCGAAGAGCTTTTTATAATGGTGTCAAAGCTAACAAGTTATCTCTAGTTATCTTATAAGCCCGCAGGTTTTACTGCTCTTAAGCTAAGCTTTTTTGTAAAGCTTTTCAGCATGCGATTTGCTCCTAGCAAAGCTCTTTCATACGGGACTATATTAGCTGTGCTCGTAGGTAGGCGACTAGCCAATACCCTAAGTACTTCGACACATTCTATGTAGAGGATTACATATAATTATTAAAGGGATTTCATAAAAGAGTTTATTTACTCCGAATTTATTGGTATTGCTTTTAGTTAAATTTTGACAGCCTTGTTTTGACAACATGTTTTTCTGCCCTGAAATATTTGATATAAACTTAGTTAATAAAGTTTACGTTAAAGATAAACAATGTTATGCAATGTTATTTGTATCTACAGTATGCTGCATTTATTCATATTTATAACTCGTAGCAATTTTGATATTTCGAAAATAGAAAGGTTGTTATGATATATATATATACATATATATACATATAGTTATTCGATCTTAATACAAAAATTAAAGAAATGAAAGCTGAATATAATACGCAGCTATACCATGCTATATGTAGATTGCAGGGTATGTACGAGTCGACCTTTTAAAACAGTATACAATGGGTATCCAAGGTATTTCGTCTGGTAAGTAGTCGAGTTCTTAATCTCATTAACAGTACAACAGCTGATAGTTATATAGATTTGATTATGAGCCTTACTTATGTATATGGCGAAGAATCAATTCGTAATTGTTGAAATATGCGCATATTAACAGATTCTTGTTGCTGGAATGTTTAATTCATAATTATTATATCATAGAAAGCGTTCACTAACTAGAGGTTATTTTTCTCGATGCCGATGCCGAAACTGGAACTGAATTGTTAATTACCAAAGCAAACCAGTTGGGAGAAATGTTTTTGAATAGTCTTTGTATGCAAAATCGCTCGGCGGGCAGGCGGGGAGTGGGGTTACATATATATAGATATATATATAGATCTATAGATATGTGACAGTTTAATAAATTTGCCTGCCTGCCTAATTAATTTTTATAGTTGAGTTTTGGCGCCACAACGGAACTCCGCGGAGATGGAGAGATGGTATTATGATGCAAAGTAAAGGAAAGTGAATTGATACGGATACGAGAGATTTATGTAAGTTTTGCTAGATCACAATGTAACTGGCGAACTGTGGCATCGTCTTATAAGTGGCCACCTCCAGGGCCAACGGCGCACAGTTCACACCGCCCGCTCGAGGTTGAAGCCCGCTTAACGATACGAACACGAACCCGAACAAAAAAGATCCAACAAAGATGCTGACGAAGCCGTGGATCACATGGCCGCTGCTGCTCCTGCTCCAGCAACTGGTCAACGCAGATGTTAGCCATCTGTCCAGCAACTATTTGCCACCAGACAACGAGCAGCCGCCAGCCAATCAGCCATTGGCGGATGAGGAAGCGCCTGCGGAGGATATGAGCCAATCCAATGATCCTTTCTATCCGATGAGTGGCCTGATGCTGCCCTCGGGCTACGCAATACCCACAGGTAGCAATGTGCCACCACCGGGCATGGCGCCGCCCAACTTTCCGCTGCCCATCTATCCGCCGTTCTTTGGATTTGGCGGCGGGCCGCAAGGATTTGGAATGGGGGCAAGTGGTCAAGTGCCACCTGGCTATGAAGCGCAGTTTCCAGGTGGGCCGTTTCCAGTCGGCGGACAGGGTGGACAGTTCCCGATTGGCCCACAAGCTGGTGGTTTTCCACCTGGGCCGCAGGGTGGACAGTTCCCGGGTGGACAGTTCCCGGGTGGACAGTTCCCGGGTGGACCACAAGGTGGACCTTTTCCACAACCTGGGCAGTTTCCGATTGGACCACAGGGCGGACAGTATCCAGGAGGACCGCAGGGCATTCCGTTTCCGGCAGGATCACAGGGCGGGCCGTTTCCGGGTGGACCACAGAGCAATGGCTTCCCAATCGGTCCCCAGGGCGGTGGCTTTCCAGTTGGACCCCAGGCTGGTCCATTTGGACCACAAGGTGGACCAATTCCCTTCCCTCCCGACTACCTGACCATGCAAGGCCTGCCCTCGCCGGGCATGCAGCTGGGCTTCCAGCAGAATATCGGCTTTGGCATGCAGCCCGGCTTTGGTAGCCCGCAGCCGGCATATCCCTACCAGCAGCCCTTCTCGCCCAGCTTCGGCATACCCGGCCAGCACTATCAGCCGCAGCCGCAGCCATACGCGGACGAGCCGCAGCCGGAGACGAAGGCGAAAGCAAAGAGCAGCTCTGCAAAAAAGTTGGCCAAGTCCCGGAATAAGGAGACCATCTATGCATCCAACGGCGGCTACATCTATAAGCGCGCCAAATGAGTTACTCCGATCTTATAGCCCCGTAGCGATATCGTTAATTTATTATTAAACACATTTCATTTCGTTATTCAACTTCATCACCTTGTATCTGCTTTTTTTTATATATATATTTTATGGCTCTTTAAGCTGAGCAGGCACAAAAGGTTATGCTAATTGAAACGTATCGGGTAAAATAAATGTCAAAATTTTAAGAAAATAAAGTACAATTTGTCATTAGAAAATGAACTACACCCAGGTATATCTCTATATATAAAACTGTTTGTCCTGACTGACTGACTGACTGACTGACTGACTGACTGACTGACTGACTGACTGACTGACTGACTGACTGACTGACTGACTGACTGATTGGTGATCAACGCACAGCCCAAACCGTAAGAGCTAGGAAGCTGAAATTTTCACTGTAGCTACCTTATGTGATGTAGGTGCACGTTAAGACGGGGTTTCGGGAAATTCCACCCGCAAGTGTGGAAAAATCGCGAAAAACGTTTGTATGTAACTTTTTTGTTTACCATCGGATTGGCCTCAAACTTATTTTCAAAGATCTTTGTTCAAATTCATTTGAGGGGTGTTTCACACTTTTAGGAAAATCCATTCCTCCTTGGTGGAAATGGAGGTCAAAGATTAGGTGGGTGACGTTTCGCGCTCAAATTCATTTCCAGTGATCTATATGAAAAATCATTTGAGACGTGTTTCTCACTTTTCGCAGAATTCAAACTTCTTCGGGGGGAATGCGATTTAAAGATTTTTTGGGCGGCGTTTTAAGTTGTGTCCGATTTGCTTCAAACTTATTTTTAAAGCTCTTTATAAGAACTTAATAAGTACGTATTTCAGCGATTTGGAAAATTCCACCCGCAACAGTGGTAAATTGGCGGAAAACGGTTGTATGAAAGTTTTTTGTTTACCATCCGATCGGCCCCAAATTCATATTTAAAGATCTATTTTTAAATTCATTAAAGGGGTGTTTCACACTTTTTGAAAAATGCATTCCTCCTTGGTGGAAATAGAGGTCAAAGATTTGGTGGGTGACGTTTCGCACTCAAATTCATTTCCAGAGATCTATTAGAAAAATCATTTGATACGTGTTTCACACTTTTCGCAGAATTCAAACTTCTTCGGGGGAATGCGATTTAAAGATTTTTTGGGCGAAGTTTTAAGTTGTGTCCGATTTGCTTCAAACTTATTTTCAAAGCTCTACATAAGAACTTAATAAATACGTATTTCAGCGATTTGGGAAATTCCACCCGCAACAGTGGTAAATTGGCGGAAAACGGTTGTATGAAAGTTTTTTGTTTACCATCCGATCGGCCCCAAACTTATTTTCAAAGATCTTTGTTCAAATTCATTTAAGGGGTGTTTCACACTTTTCGAAAAATCCGGTCCTCCTTGGTGCAAATGGGGGTCGAAGATTTGGTGGATGACGTTTTGTGTTCAAATTTATTTCCAAAGATCTATACGAAAAATCATTTGAGACGTGTTTCACACTTTTTGCAAAATCTAAACTCCTTCGGTGGAAAATGCATTTCAAAGATTTTTTTGGTGAGTTTTAAGAGTTTTCCGATTTGCATAAAAGTTGTTTGATTCCCGTCCGATCAGTTTTAAAATCATTTTCAAAGCTTTTTTGATTTTATAACATACGTGCCACGGGCAAGGCCGGGTTATACCCGCTAGTCATTTATAATTCTGAACTTTTCTTTAAAGATTCGATTAAGAAACATTTTTTCTTTTACTATTTTTTATGCAATCTGTTTATGAAAATAAACTACACCCAAACATTATCATAAAGAATTCTGATCTTTTCTTTGCAGATTAGATTGGAAAACTTTTTTTTTTAAATATATTTTATACAATCTGTTAAAGAAAATAAAATACACCCTAACATTATCATTTAGAATTCTGATCTTATCTTTAAAGATTCGATTAAGAAACAATTTTTTCTTTTTACAATCTGTTAAAGAATATAAACTGATATTTTCTTTAAAGATTAGATTTAGAAACATTTTTTCTTAAAATATATTTTTTTAAATCTGTTAAAGGAAAGAAACTACATCCAGACATTATCATTTTAAATTCTGATCTCTTCTTTAAAGATTAGATTAAGAAACATTTTTTTTTAAAGTATTTTTTTTTACAATCTGTTAAAGGAAATAAACTTCATTCAGACATTATCATTTAGAATTCAGATCTTCTCTGTTATACGTTAAAAAAAAATTTAATTTAATTAAACTATTGAATAAAAATGAAACAGATACTCGGTAAAAATGGCAGAAAATACTGTTAGATCACAAGTTACCCAGCTAGCCGGTTCTATATTAATATATATATATATATACATATATACTCATTGATATTAAAAATATTTATAACTTATAATTTTTGCATATATTTTTATATTGTAAAGTCAAATACTTGATATATTGCTTCGAGTTGTAACAAAGGATCAGCCAGTTGCAAAAATGGACTCTATCCTACACATTGAAATGTTATTAAGTCCCCAGCTTAAAGCACAACACATATGTATGTATGCATTATGCCCTCTAGTAGAGGGTAAAAATACTGATTTCGATTGAAATCTTGCGGATGGGTTGAAAAACTTGCTCCATTTTTTGCAAATTTGCCACATTTAACGAATAACGCCTACGTGAAGTGTGAAGTGACGTGATATTTTTTAAAAAGTTTCCAAGTCGTATTTTATGTTTATATGCAAATTCATTTGGCAACGGGCAGGAGACAACAATGTTTTTATGATTATTTCGTTTTGTGGTTGCATTGTTGTTAATTTCCATCTATTTTATTTGTAGCCCCTTTGTTATTTATTATTCAATCTGTTAACATGTTTGAATACACTTTGTTGACTTCTATTTATGTTTGTATACCCTGCAACTATATTGATGTCACAAAGTGAAGGACGCATCTCTGATCTTATAGGGTATATATGTTCTTGATCAACGTCATTAGACGAGTAAAGCTTTACAAATATATATATTTGATATTATGAAAAATTTGGATTGTAAAAGATTCAAAAAATATATATAGAAGTTATTTAAAAATCTCTTTTATGTTTTGGAACTTTAGATCTGGCTACAGGGTATCTGCTAGTCATTTACCATGGATCTTTTGCACCTTAATTGATTTTTGTTCACCTATACATAGGCATATGCCTATGATTGATTTTTATTTGTTTGTAAAACAACTTCATTCAGTGTTTTTGTCAATTATACTTTTATATCTGTACATAACAAGCGAATTTCGTTAACACTGTGCTACACAACTTATGCTCTTCTTCTTGTTAACTTTAAAGGCTGTTCGATCGGCAATTAGTCATAATTACTTAATGCAACTGTTGCCGCGGGGCCCCTGCAGAGACCCTCAACTTGACATTTTATCCATCATTTCTATTATGCGATCTCCTCCAAGAGCGACGCGTGCAAAGCCGCAGATGCGAACATTTATGTTGATGTTCACAATGTTCGCATTGTTTGTTTGTATGCTCGATAAGAAATTATCTGTTAAGATCTGACAACATGATTTTCTTAACAAATGCAAACGCATTCAAAATCGAGTCACATATAACAATTACATGCATATTTCTAGCTTGTGTTTTGATATCATAATATCTTTAAATTGTATTTCATGCTTATTCTATGAATTGATTAAGTTCCCCCCCCCCCCCCCCCCCCCCCCACACACACTAATCTAAACCAGTGCTGCCACACCTAGCTAGAACACCAAATGCCAGTTAAGAGCTGTTAATCGCTTGTGACGTCACTGTGCGCTGTTAACAGCATGAAGGCTAGTTCGAAGCCTTGGCCTTGTTCTGTTATCGAAATGTTATCGGTGCTGATTAATGGAATACCAGCTTTAAGGGGTTCACCATGGATCGCTGATATCCATTTCGTAATCTCGCAGCCTGCGTGTAGTCAACGCACTTTACCCATCGCGCCAAGGCGGCAATTGGCTGTGCAAGCAAAATGTGCAGCTGGCCAAAATGCAAACATGTAGCCGTACACATAACACCACTTAGCCACTGTGAGGCGCATCTTTATGTTGACAACTGGTGAGTCTGGAAAATGTGCATCTGTTTTTTTCGCGTAGCGAAAAGAAAGCAATTTGTGCAACACTTTGGACACCGCCTCCAATGTGGGCCAAGTTAGCCAGATGGGAAACCTGAGATCAGACCTGATTTGCCAACGTCTCGGCACACACGCACACACAAACACACACAACAGCGGGCATTGTGTGTGTAGCGCGTGTTTACAGCTTTACGAGGTGGCCCATTGTCTTTCGTTGTATTTAACATTTAGCATTTGGGCATTTATTAATCGGTTCAAAGTTATAGCCAAATTGCACGCTTTTGTTGTTCAACATACTTTGCATTCACATATTCACACATAGATGGCGCTGAACCAATTATGGGCAGCTAGCAGCAGAGTTTGACAAGTGCCAAGTGGCCTGGCCATCGTCCGCGATGGCTTTTCAACTAAGTATAAATGCCCATCGGACCTGTGTGGCAGACATCAGTTTTACGGTTTCGTTCGTTTGGTGTAGCACGCGCAGCTGTAACGCCACTCAACATGGTAAGCGATGCGCCCAAGTGAGACAATCTTCACTTTTACCATTTGCCTCTTTGGATTGCTTAATCTTATTTTATTTAATGTCTTGTGTGACAGAAAGCCGTTGCGTTTGTCGCTGTTGCCGTCGCCATTATGGGCCTAGCTCTGGCCTCTCCGCAGTCCACTAGCTACCTGCCGCCGGCACCTGTTAAGGATCTGTCCAGCCAGAGGTTACCCGTACAGCAGAGCTATCAGAGCTTCCAGCAGCCGCAGCAGCCGCAGCAGCGCATCGCACAGATTGAATCCATCCGGCCATCCATATCGCTGGGCAGCTTTACCATTCAAAATGGTGGCCAGTTAGGCTTCATCAGTCAAGCACCAGCTGGCGCTGCCATCAGCTATGAGACACCTCAAACAATTGTGGCCACAGAGACGCCACCGAGGAGCACCTATTCGGGGTCAGCAGTTGCCGCGCAGCCCGCGGCAGCTGTTGAGCAAACAGTCACCGCACCAGTTGCTGCTCCAGTTGCTCAACAAACCTACTCTGCTCCAGCTCCAGTGGTTCAGCAAACCTACTCTGCTCCAGCTCAGACGGTTCAGCAAACGTACTCCGCCCCGGGTCCAGCTCCAACGGTTCAACAGACGTACTCCTCTCCAGCTCCAATTGTTCAGCAAACCTACTCTGCTTCAGCTCCAGTAGTTCAGCAAACATACTCTGCTTCAGCTCCAACGGTTCAGCAAACGTACTTCGCCCCAGGACCAGGTGGTCAGCAGACTTACTCCGCTCCAGCTCCAACGGTTCAGAAAACCTACTCCGCTCCAGCTTCAGTGGTTCAGCAAACCTACTCTGCACCTGCTCCCGTTGCTCAGCAATCTTACTCCACTCCAGCTGCAGCTCTAGTGGTTCAGCAAACATATTCCGCACCAGCTCAGATGTTTCAACAGAGTCAGGCGATTGCAGCGCCCGCTCCAGTTGTCCAGGATACCTACTCCGCTCCAGCTAGCACGCCAGCTGCTCAGCAAACTGTGATCCAGGAGAGCAACGCGATTACGGCATCCGCTCCTGTGGGGCAGCAGACATATGCCGCCCCAGCTCCTGCGGTTCAGCAAACATACGCTGCGCCAGCACCGGCTCCCGCTTCGTCTCCCGTATCGGCTCCGACGCCAGTGGCTCAACAAGTACAAGAGACATTTTTTGTAGCTGCACCCGTGCAACAGAGCCAATACAGTGGCTACAGCTATCAGGCACCAGCTCCGGTTGCCGCGCCAGTTGCTGAACTGTCCACTGCCAGCTACAGTGCACCCGAGATTAATTCTGCCCCGGCACCCGTGCAGTTCCAGGCACAGCAGCAACAGCAGCAGATCTACACCACAACGGCTCAGGCTCAAGTTGACGCTCCGCTGCAATTGCAGCAATCGTTTGTGCCAGCCCCACCCACTGCTGTCCAGTCCGTCGAGCAGTTGACCAGCCCCACTTACAGCTACACACCCGCCATTGCCCAGCAGCAGCAGCAGCAGCATGTGACCTACACACGGCCCGTGTCCACGACCGTTCTGCAGGCGACTCCAACCTCAGCTTTGGCGACCAGCTCACTGATCAGCAGCACGGCTGGTCTCCCAGCCGTCGGCTCGGAGATTGGCACCAACTATGCCAGCAACGGTGGCTACGTCTACGAGAGGACGAAGTAAATGCGTTTGAACGGGCTAGCCTGCAACGGGACGCCCGAATTCGCATGCTTTAATTTTTCATTTATGAACTTTACTTAGCCAAATTGTAGCCCTAGTCCTGTTAATTTGTTTTATTTTTTATTTTTCTATTCAAATTAAAAAGAACAAGAGAAAAACGTTGAAGCCTTCGTTTGATTTGTTTCATACAGTTTGACATGCCCAGCTGTTGGCAGTTGCGCTGTAAATTTAAAAGCAACAGCAGCTTAACATAACATGACAGCTTAACAGCCAGTGCTCTGGCATCATTGCAAAAGCTGTTAAGTATATACACATTTTTTTTACAAGAATTTTAACAGGAACTGCTATGGGATTTTGCCGGTTGCTGCAAAAATGAAATTATTGGCGAATGTAGAAAAAAATACGGATTTGGATGCTGGCAGATTCTAAAAATAGACAATCTTCAAATGTAATATATATCGAATTGAAATTGGTTATTATTCGCATTACTCATCAATCTGTGGGCAATGCTACCTGCTGCTGTTGATTAATTAATTCCAGTCCGCAGACACTGTCTGAAAAATCCCGCTGTGTTCTTCAACATTGCCGCAGGGCAACTTCTCTCAATGCTTTCATCTTGATTGATTGTCCGTCTTGACTGATTGCAGGCCATGGAACTCGTTGGCTATCGCGACTTTTTATCCGACCAGGTTAACCGGCGCGTCTCGCGTTATGAATGGAGTTTCCAATAACGTGCTTTATGGTTCGGCCATTAAATGGACGAGCTGCACAAAGAACAAAAAAAAATAAAAAGAATAAATAAAAAAAGAAAAACATGTTTCAGATGGAATTTAGAGTTGTGCGGCCGCTAATGAACAAACGTCCAATCGTCAAAGACGGACGTCATAAGATCCCAATACGAGCTCCAGCCCGTTCTGAACTCTGATTTTATTAGTTATTGCTATTGTATTTTTTTTATTCAATTTTTGTTATTTTGCTTATTTATTCATAGAAAGCTTATAATGAACGATATTTTATGAGCATTTGTTAAAGCAGCTACAAGTTCTTATTATTTTTGTTATCTGTTTTTTTTTGGGCTCTACTCATCGCGTCTGTTTGACATTTGTATTGAGATCCGTTGAGAATTTCGACTATAAATATGTTAGGATGTGATAGCAACAAATTAGTTCTTTGACCAACTTTGTCAACGCAGCAACACACCTCCAACATGGTTAGTATGGACACTGTGCCGGTGCTCCGTCTCCTCCAGCTAAAACAGCTTGCCGATCTATTTTAGCAATTCCTTGCCATCGTCTCGTTCGCCCTGGTGGCACTCGCCGCCGCCGATGTCAGCCACCTGAGCAACACCTATCTGCCGCCCCAGCAGGTGGCCGCCGCCAGCACCTACTCGGCGCCAGTGTACAGCGCCGCCAAGACTTACGCCGCCCCGGCAGCCACCTATACGAGCCAGTCGTATGTTGCTCCAGCTGCCTCCTCGCAGAGCGCTTCCTATGCTGCGCCGGCTGCTAGCTTTGCTGCCGAGTCTGTTGCTGCTCCAGCTGCTGCCTACACCAGCGACGCCTCGTATGTGGCGCCAGCTGCCAGCTTCCAGAGCGCTTCCTATGCCGCCCCAGCGCCGTCTTTCGTCAGCAAGTCCTACAGCGCTCCGGCTGCCAGCTTCACCGATGATGCCTCCTATGCTGCTCCTGCTGCCAGCTTCGAGAGCGCCTCCTATGCCGCTCCAGCTACCGCTTTCGCCAGCAAGTCCTACAGCGCTCCTGCCGCCAGCTTTGCCAGCGAATCGTCGTATGTTGCTCCTGCTGCCACCTTCGAGAGCGCCTCCTATGCCGCTCCAGCTACCGCTTTCGCCAGCAAGTCGTATGCCGCACCTGCCGCCAGCTTTGCCAGCGAATCGTCGTATGTTGCTCCTGCTGCCAGCTTCGAGAGCGCCTCCTATGCCGCCCCAGCGCCGTCTTTCGTCAGCAAGTCCTACAGCGCTCCTGCCGCCAGCTTTGCCAGCGAGTCGTCGTATGTGGCCCCAGCTGCCACCTTCGAGAGCGCCTCGTATGCTGCTCCCGCACCCGTTGCTGCCGCCAGCTACAGCGCCCCGGTGGTGAGCTACTCCGGAGCCAGCTCCTCCGGCATTGACACCGTCTACGGCTCCAACGGAGGCTATGTCTACAAGCGCAATTAAGTCCTCCAAAAAGGGCTTTAAATATATTTTTCTTTTTTTTTTTTATGTCCCAACTTTTTTTTTTCACACAAAATTAAATAAGTTCTAAACAACCGAAAACGATAAACGAAACGATTTATTTATTTTGAAGGGAATCCCCTTTCATACCGCAAATAAGAAACCAACTGCCAGCTAATTAATTGGAATATGCGCAAATCTCTGCAATAGAAAGCATAAAATAAGCTAAATAAAATGAATGTATAAAAGAAAACACAGCATTGTCCATATCAAGATCAGATGACAATATTGTACAATTTCCAAGGCAAGGCTATCTTTGACACCAAAAACTGAACTTTTCCTTTCCATCATATACTCGACTTAGTATACACTGAAAAAAAAAAAAAGTTCTTCAACTCAGATTGTTTTCTTGTTTCTCAAATTGACTGGAGTAAAACGGCACTTCGACTGAATGAAATTCATTAATATGATTTATTGTTAGACTAAATATAGTTAAGATTGGAATGTTTGCTACTCATCGAGCGTGTTTTTGGTGGACACATCGTACTCCTTGACATTGGCCACAAACAGGATGTTTAACTTGCTGCTGATGGGTCGCTTGCTATCCTCGTGCTTCACGTGCAGCGTGCCGGAGTCCAAGCTGATCGTGCCCAGCAATTGGCCGGGCTTGATGTAGTAATTCTGTCCCATCGTTGTGGGCGTGGGATCCACAATTAAATGATACACCATAGACTGCGGCTCCTCGTCGCGGCTGACAATCAGCTTTGGTTTCGCTGTGGTCACAGCCACGGCCATGGCCATCGCCATGGACGTTGGCATTGGCAACACGTGTGCCAACAACGAGCTGGCGACCAACAAAGACAAGCTCCAAGCCAGCTGCATGACTTATGTACTTATATTGAAAGATGCCAGAAACGAAATGCGGCTCGAAATGGTGCGACGAACTCAACGGAATGCCAGCAATGCACTAAGTCAGGTTCTGACTGACTGCCACATGCTTATATACATATATATTGTCCTGAGACAGCTGAGCATTGGGCCAGGGCAATGCACTGAGCGCACCGGCCCTTCTATGCGCTTCTCAATGCCTCTTCCTTGCAGCGCGTGGCCCGTTATTCGGGCATAACAAGTTTTGAAGGCCCATTAACATTAACCCGATTTCAGTTTCGCACTAAAGATGCAGCGCACAAAAAATATGTATATATACAAGTATATGTGTTTATTTAGCATATAAGTTAAGGCACGATATACACAAAAGCTTGTGAACAGCTCTCAATTCAACAGCTGAAAAGGAACATAATTAAGAAAAAGAAAAAAGAAGCCAAAACAAACTCACGCAGCACAATAAATAAATAATTTTTGCAAATTACGTTTGTCGTTTCAGGTTTTATATACAATATATATACATATATATATATATAAATATCTGCCAGATGTCAAACTTCTTTGCTGCGCTGAGCTGGCTGAAAAAGTAGTGGAATAAATAAATAACACATAATCAGCTTTTCGCTTGCCAGTGTTAGTTAAGCTAATACATTAAATTATCAAATTCTTTAGCCACACCCTGTACGACAGACTTATCAAAAGAAAAGCCTGAAAACTTAGACACGCTCCAACTATTTTGTATTTTAATATTATAATTATATTAGATTATATTTTAATATATTCTCTGTATTCAATCCGCTTTAACTAATAAACAACAAATAATGCCATTTCCAGGGTATCTATTGGTCGCGCGTTTTCGAGCAAGTTCTTACTTGTTGGCATTTAATATGTATGTTTAGCTTTTAATAGCCAACAAATTGACTGAAAGTGTTTGAAAAATAATTTATTAGCGCCGCCAAAATAGTTAATTAATTTTCATGAGTATGAAGATGAAGAAGAATTAGATTGGCTTTATTTTGTGAAAACGCGACAAAAATGCGGGCTCCATTCGCAATAATTAGCAAACATTAAATACATGTTTAAATTAAACGACATTTGAGCTATTCTGCAGCTGCTCAGCTCATCGAAACCTGCAATTTAGAGTGCTTCTTATAGCTAATCGACAGACAGACAGACATATGTCTGCACACAAGATTGTGAAAGCTGTATTTATGACTAAACTGCATTTAATCTGGTTTAAGGTAACATTTAACAGTTTAATTGTGGGCGATTCTAAGGCAATATTCCAATACTCCTGGTAGATCATTTCGGATGGAATACAACTCTGAAGAACTCTGAAGTTCTAACAGATGTCTGGGACTATTGTGGACTGAGTATAATAATACTCAAGAGTTAGCTAATGAAATATTTTGAACATCTTTCAGTAAGAGCTGAGACATGTCTCTCAGGTGAGCTATTGATAATCCAGCTGTGTTAAGGTTACGAATTTCTTAATTTAGTCACATTTCTATAGAAGCACTTAATAAATCCATAAATATGCCTTAAAATAAAGAATTTTCTGTGATATTAAAAGATTTTTCTCAATATCTCTTTATATCACAGCAAATACTTTACAACTTACTTTAAGCTAATTAATATTTTAATTAATATTAAAAAGATTGCGATTATAATAAAGGATATCTAGAGCAAGGTGAAAATAAATAAAGTATGATAAGTTTCTGATTAAAATTAAAATAGTTTTCGATAAGGATATTTCAGCTCAAGTTTCTTGGTTGTTCTTAAAATACTTGCAATAAGAAAGAATAAGAATGGAGATTTCTAGCCTAGTTTCTATGTATAGGGGTTTTCCCTATGCTGTTGTGGCGATCTGGCATCACAGAAATGTTTACATTTTAAGTTTTTTGTCTTTGATAAGTTTGGTTACACTAATTTGGAATTTCACCACATTACGAAAAGCATGTACAACCTTCTTCTAGCTCGAGCTCTCTAGCCTTCACAGCTTGTTAATCATATTGTAAGCTATAAACCCTTTTAATTAGTTTTTCTTAGCCCATGGTAAGTAAATAGATTGAATAAACAAATTTTGGCAAATTGAATTTGTATTTTATATGTATTCTCTTTCCTTGTGCCACAACTTAACCAACTGCCGTCAGTCCACATGGTCTCTTGAAAACCAACTGATATATCTGCGCTGGGATAACGATCTGCAAAGCTGTGCCCATAAACAAATTGTCCGCTTTATTGTTTTTGTTTCTGTTTCTGGTTTTTCTGCACGCAAAGAAATAAACACTGTACGTATTATAATTAATGTCTAAGGTGAGTAATCGTCGCTTTAAGCCAGCGGACGCGGGCCCAAGAAAGAAGCATTTTTGGCCAAGATTAAGTGCCAAGTTCCATGTTCCAAGTGCACGGCCCGCAGCTATTCCAAAATCGTCGGATTCTAACCAAGCCGAACCAATCCAAACTGAGGCAATGCGTTGGGCTCCGGCTGACTTATCTCACGTTCGTCTCATGCTGTCAATACCAACTTCTGGGCAGGCTAAGCTAAAAAAAAAAAAGCAAACAACGGCGAAAAAAAAAAGACAAGAATAAAAATAGGAAAAAAACGCATCATTAATTAAACTTGCGAGGTATTTGCGTTTATGTTTGTGTTTGGCTCTGTGACTTCCGAAATGGACATGGCTAAAAATAAACGGTCTATTAGATTCCGCGGCATCCTCTACAATCGCGCAATTCTGCGTTAACACTGTCCAACAAGTTCTTACTACGTTTAGTTAACACGAAGAGCAGGCCCGTTATTTTCAATTAACTTTTAGCCGTTAACTTTCAAATGCTTTCTTCATTTTCGCGCGCTCCTTTGAAATTTGTACTCCTAATAAGGTGGCAGCTCTCAACTGGACAAAGAGCGTTGCCACCTTTTAATACGTTTTTGTCTTTGAAAAGTAACTTCTGCTAGTTGGTAACCCTTTTTTAAGGAAGAACTTTGGTCCGTGCTAATTCCTGCCCAAGAATATTAAATACAATACAATTATTTGCCAAAAACCAACCGAACTACGACTTCGATTACAATTAAGTCCAACAAGCATGAAATTAAAAGAGAATAAAAGAGAAAAATCGGAAAGTAAATGGCATGAAAAATGCCCGTGCCAGCTTAGGAACCTTTGCCTAGCTCAATATTATTTTGAGCACAAAATTCGTTGAAATTAGCCTCACTTTTTTTTTGCTTTGATAAAATGTATGATCTTAAAGCTAGCGCTCAAGTTTCGGTTGACTAGTTTAATTGAGATCTTGGATTCCGTTTCGTTCTTCCATTTTGGCTGACGGTGCAAAAGATTTGTACTCGCAATTCTTTTGTTTGTGGCCGCTATAAAAGTGTTGCCCCGCGACTCCAGTGGCATCAGTATCCGCTTGGCAAGCACCTAAGCAACTCCAACTCGACATGGTAAGTCCAGCTATTGACGGTGCCGTGATCAATCTCTAACACTTTTCCGGCAGCGTCCGTTCGCCATTTGCTCTGCTCTGCTGGCCCTGGCCGCCTTGGGCGTGGCCAGTCCTTTGGGCAACAGCTACCTGCCGCCCCAGGCCAATGCGTACAGTAGCTACAACTCGGCTGGATCGAGCGCCGCCGCCAGCTCCTATGCACCGACGCGCTCGCATGGATATGCCCCATCAGCCAGCTATTCGACGCCATCTCGACAGTATCTGGCGCCGACCTCGTCTCTGAGCAGCTATTCGACGGCAGGTGCCAGCAGCTACTCCGCCCCAGCAAGTCACTCATCCTCGGCCTCGTCATATGCACCCGTGGCAGCTCCCTCTCGTCAGTACCTGGCGCCAGCCGCCTCCCACAGCAGCTACTCCGCCCCAGCCGCGTCTCACAGCAGCTACTCCTCCGCTGCCTCATCATATGCACCTGTAGCAGCTCCCTCTCGTCAGTATCTGGCGCCAGCAGCATCTCACAGCAGCAGCTACTCCGCTCCAGCCATCTCCCACAGCAGCTACTCTGCTCCAGCCGCATCTCACGGCAGCTACTCCTCCGCTGCCTCATCATATGCACCCGTGGCAGCTCCCTCTCGTCAGTATCTGGCGCCAGCAGCATCTCACAGCAGCAGCTACTCCGCTCCAGCCGTCTCCCACCGCAGTTACTCCGCTCCAGCCATCTCTCACAGCAGCTTCTCATCGTCGGCGTCAACATATGCACCTGTAGCAGCTCCCTCTCGCCAGTACCTGGCGCCAGCCGCGCACAGCCACAGCAGCTACTCCGCTCCAGCCATCTCGCATAGCAGCTATTCCGCTCCAGCCGGCTCCCTCAATGGTTATTCGTCCCCAGCTCGTTACGCTTCCTCCCATGGTCTTGGATTGGGTGCCTTTGCAACAGCTTCGTCCTCGTCCGCTCGTAGTTTTGGGCACGGCTCCGGAGGATCGCGCCATGCAAGCGGAGGTGCCTATGGTCACGGCAGTTCTGCAGGCGGCACTCGCTACGCCTCCAACGGTGGCTATGCATATCGTCATAAGCATTAAACTGATCTCTACATTATTATAAATCGGGCTAAAGGTTTACAGCTTTCATATATGTATACACATATTTTTTTTTTTTTTTTGTAATAAGTTTGATAATTAAATAAAGTTTAAAGTGTGCAATAAATAAGAACATTATCTGAACTACAATGTTATTTGGAACCGAACCAGTTCCAATTTATTTAAAAAAGTAGCCGAGACACGAACCCAGCCGCATATTTTTCAAAAATAATTTGACTTAGACCGAAAGCATTAACATCGTCGGCCCCAAGCATTAGATTTATCTAACCAATTTTGGTAGATCCCAATTTTGGGCAGAGATCGAATTTAGCCCGCGCCTTCCATATGAAAATATCTACTGTTTTCAATATTTTCAGTAGAACGGGCAATTACAAATTATGAATTGAATTGTTTCATTCAAATTTCGAGAATATACGGGAACCGAAGAGTTTTAAATGCACCGAGGTTCAATTATGTGTAAAACCCGATTCACGAGCCAAACCTAGAAGGAGAGCGCTGGCTCGAACCGCTTCCTCTTTCTCAGTCTTAGGAGTGTGGAGTAGGAGCGGAAAGTATCCAGGAGTAAAAAGTAATATGCTCAATAAGCCCAAGCTTCAAAATTTATGTCAATCGATTCAAAATTTGAGCTCACACAGATTTAAACAGATCTAAGTTGGCCTTAAATTGATTTATGTTTTTCGTACAACTATTAACTATCATAATGATAACAAAGGAGATTGAAAATCGGTTTAGTTTTGAATTGTTTAAAGATCGATAAGAAAAAATCGAAAACTTGAACATAAGGAAATACGTAATTCACAAAGGATCAGGACCTGCCTATAAAAATTGATTATTTTTGTTCAAGAAACTTTATTATTTATAAAAACCAGCTCAAATCCTATAGATACCAAAAAAAAAAAAAAAAGAGGATTTATATACATATACATTCGTTTTGTGAGCACTTTTTGCATAAGAATATTTAGTGGACATTATCCCAGGCACATGCCAACTGATCCTCCTAATAGACGTAACCGCCGTTGGAGCCATATTTGGTGTCCAGGCCGCTGTAGCCAGTGCCGGCATAGCTGGTCAGTGCCGGCAGATAGGCGCGCGAGGGCGTGGCATAGCTGTTGTACTGCGGCACCGCGGCATAGCTGTTGTAGCCGGATGAGACCAGCGGGGCACCGTAGCTCGAACCGAGGCCGGAGCCCGAGTAGTAGCCGCCGCCGGAGTAGGCGTTGCCCGTATACGAGGGATACGTGGGATACGAGGAGTACGTCGAGTAGCCGCCAGCGCCGCTCAGCGGTGGCAAATAGTTCCGCGAGAGGGACAAATGGGAGACATCCGCGGCGCAAAGTGCCAGCACAGTGGAAGCAATCAGAGCCGCAATAGCCGTAATGGAGGGCTGTGGGAAAGGCGGGCAGACAAGAGGTTATGGTAAAAGTCGGACTATAAACTGCTTGTTAAAAAAAGAGTTATTATATTTTATATTAATAAATATACCTCAAACCTTGTTGAGAACATTTTAAATGGACATATATATCTGCTTGGAATTTAATTTTCACACTTTTAAACAACCAAAAAACAAAGAATGCTAAAAAAAATATTCTTTAAAAAAATGGTCACACTTATATTTATTTAGAAAACCGTTATTGCACTGGTCGGCTGGTCACATTGTCACACAAAATATATCGTTAGTACTTGCCATTTTGAGGATTTCAAGTTATCAAGTCCTACGTAGTTTGACAAAATATAATTCCTAGAAGAGTTATACACTGGGACAATGCTGCCGAATGACTGTTGTTCATGTTGGCGTCGAGTGCGCGTTTTATACTCTTGAAAACAAGCTGGAACTGTTATTAAATTAAATATATATCGTGCGGACAGATTTTACAACTAATTTTAACGCCTTTACCGCACTGCAAACATGTCGACGGACAATGCTCATTACTCAAGCCAACAATGACTGAAACCGAAACCGAAACTGAAACTCAAACTGAAACTGAATCGTTTAGAAATGTTCGGCGACATGTTTAGCTGTTTTAGCGGATCCCACGATCCCACGACGCATCGACGGCGAACACCCAATTTCGGTTGGTCTTGGAAAGCCCACGTTAGCATTTGGTAGCTGTTGTGGTTGCTTTTTTATACCCTTGCGCAGGGTATTCCAATTTTGTCGCACAGAACGAGACTCGGCTATCCTTCGATTAGTATCATCAAACATTATTGGACTTTCAATCATAGGGATACATCATGAATACATCATATATGAGCTATAGGATAAATAAAATATTCGAATTTGCCTTACTACAATCAAACATTGCTACACTTTATTACATCAAAGCAATGAGTATTTATTTGAGATTCTTTTCAGTTTCTCAAGATATGACAGTGATCAAAATCTAATCAAAATTACTATTTTTTTTATAGCTTTTATAGCAACAATCGAACGAAATATAGCGCATGTCTGCAAGGGTATTTACACTTCGGTGTGCCGATGACTGCTCTCTTACTTTTTTTTCGGTTTTGTTATTGTTTTTATGACCCTGCCACGCCTTGCCTCACGTACTTCACCTCTCCTTCCGTGTTGTTGAGATGCGAAACGTCGCTTGGCTGGCTTTAAGGGTAACATCGTCGCGCGCTCTTTTTCTTTAATTATACAATTTATATTTATTTTTTTTTCAATCTAACTCTGGTTATTGTTTTGTGTTAAGTGCCCTTGTTGTTGTTGCTATTTGTGTTTGTTGTTTTATGACATTTCGCGGTCGCCGGTCTAACGCTTTTGTCTTATATGAGTCGCTGCTCATAAATCTTAAAGTTATTAATTGTTGCTACAACACAGATTGCAGTCCATTTGCCGTATCTCAGGTTTGAGCCCGGGATCCGATTGCAATAATTCTTTGTCTGGCCCAAAAATGACCACGTTACTTGATATCAAAGCAGCTTCGTTGTCAGATCATTAATTTCTAATTTTGATTATTTATATTTATATCAGCAAATCATTAAACAAATCAAATGATGTGTCATTGTATAACAAGCATACAAAGTTGCATCCTTAATATCAATAATTTTGAACTTCTAAATACGTTATCCAATAATTTGAAATTTGAGATCGCTTATTGGCAACATCTTCGTTAAGGAGTTGCCACTCTCTCACTGCAATAAGGCTGCCATTTAATACTGAGCGTGTGGACACACTGCCCACGCTTGTAGGCTGCGTTTTCGCAAGAAAACCAATATGTAAATAGACGAAAAAATGAAGAAAAAAAATGTAGCAAATCAATAAGCACACCGTTTCGCAAAGCCGCAAAATGCCGCGCCGTAAAAACAATAAAATTGATATCAAGCCCAGCTGGATTGCCGATTCCTGCAACTTTTTTACCCATGTAATTACGGATACCTTGGAGAATCTTCGCAAAAGTTCCATAAGCCGCACTGAGAAAATGGCGCTCGACAAACTGGAGACACAATGGATGCAACACTACATGCCCAGCAATCATATGCCGGAGTCGAATCCCTGCCCGTTACCGGTTCCCAAGCCAAAGCCGCGACGGCCCACCGCAAAGCCGACAGCAAAGGCAGCCGGTAAAGCAAATCCAGTTGAGCAGTCTGTGGATCCCCACACTTTGGATGACCACGTCAATATAGTGTATCGCATTTGCATTCCTCCCCTGAAGCCCCATTGGCAGTGCCGCAGCTTCGATCTCAGTATTCCGGCATATGTGTGCAAAGATAATTTAATTGATCAGCTAATTAACTGGCAGCTGCTGGACCGCATTATGGAGCTGCCGCAGGAAGAGGCCACGGCCATGTTTCAGAAGTATGTGAAAAAATTGCTGCTGTTGCAACAAGTTGATTAAGCAGGGCTTACAAAATAAATCATATTGTAATACACAAGTGTATAAGCGTAATTTATATGCATGTAATTAGTTTGTGAAACATACAAGTAAATCATAAAATGAAATAATGCGAGGATTGAAATTGGCGCAATTCGTAAATCCAACGCTTACATGCTTTTTTGAGTATTTCAACAGTTACAATAACTGGCCACACTAAATGTAACGGCACTTGGCCGAATTTCGAAATTGGAAGCTGATCAATTGCAGTTCACTGCAATTGAATGTCGTTCAGTTCGCTTTTTGCATTTCAACGTTTGCGTTGAATTTGCGCATGCTCGTTGCATTTTGTTAATCATTGATGTTGAACGTTTACTTTTGTGTTCTGTTAAATGTTTAATTTATGAATAAGAACGCGGTGAATAAAACCACAAACTGCTGCACTAAAAGCAAGTATCAAATGTAAGTGGCAAATATCACTGGAGTTAAATTCGTTGCGTGACATAACCTCAAATGCACACGTGGATTTTTTTTTTTTTATAGGGCCACAATCTTGCGGGATAATCATGTGCGAACACAATGCCATGTGCGTGGCCGGCAGTGGAGTGGTAACAACGTCAGCTGGCGGTCCTGGTGGCTTTTGTGCCTGTGCCCTGCAGTGCTGCTGCTCGTTTGCGGTGAGGCTTCTGCCGCCGCGACGGGATCAGCGCACGCGAGGTGCGATGCAGATCAATTCCAGTGCAGAAACGGAGTCTGCATCTTACAGGCGAAGATGTGCGACGGACGAAGCGATTGCACAGACAACACGGATGAATTGGAATGCGGCAAGTGAAAGAAGAAAATCAAAAATTGATCCGAACCTAACCTAACCTAAACAAACCTAACCTCAAACTTGTGTACATTATATCTTTGGACTGCAGACTACAAGATGTGCCGGCAGCCGCATTGGTTCCCGTGTGCCCAGCCACACGGTGCCTGCCTGGCAGCGGAACTAATATGCAACGGCATCGACAACTGTCCAGGCGGCGAAGATGAGCTTCAGTGTCCGCGCCGCCTGGTATTCAACTTCGGCCGGCGCAACTGCAGCCAATATGAGTACATGTGCCAGGATCACAGCTGCATACCGCTCGACTTTATGTGCGACGGCAAATCGGACTGTGCCGACAACTCCGACGAGACAGCTGGCTGCAAACAGGTGGCCACCAGCTGCACCGGTGGTCATCTCTGCAGCAACGGCCGTTGCTTGCACCGCAAGCAATGGCTCTGCGATGGCGTCGATGACTGCGGCGATGGCAGCGATGAGAGTGACTGCGGTGAGTCTTGCTATATACATAGATTAAAGATTTGTTTAAGTACATGGATCCCAGCATTAATCCCTTGCATTCAAAATATTGCTTTCCAGAGAATCTCTGTCAGCCGTCTATGGGAAAGTTCATGTGCCGCAATCATGGCAGCTGCCTGCCGCTCAGCCAGGTGTGCGATGGCCAGCCCAATTGCTCGGATGGCAGCGATGAGAGCGAGAGCTGCCGTGCCAAGCCCGATTGCAGCACAAAGAAATGTCCGCCTGGTGCCAGTTGCCACATGATGCCCGCCAGCGGGCCGGAATGCTTTTGCCCAGACGGCTTTCGGCTGTTAAAGTTTAAGGATAAATGCGAGGATATTAACGAATGTCAGGAGCGGGATGACTTGTGCAGTCAGCGCTGCGAAAATACATCCGGCGGCTATCGTTGTGCCTGCGATGCGGGCTACGAACTGGATGCCAGCAACAATCACACCTGCCATGCCCTGGATATAGGCTCAGGGAAACAGTCCGCGCTGCTGCTCTACACCACCCAGGTGACTGTGATGGGCATGCATCTGACGCAGCAAACGCATCAGCGCAATCATGTCTTCAGCGTGGCCACCAATCTGAGCAAAGTGATTGGCGTGGCCTTCGACGGCGACCACATCTACTGGACCAACATACAGAACGAGGCGGAGAGCATTGTGCGTGCACGTGCCGATGGCTCCATGGCCGAGATATTGCTGACATCTGGTCTGGATGCGCCCGAGGATTTGGCCGTCGATTGGCTGACGCACAACATTTACTTTTCGGACAACATAATGCGACACATTGCGGTCTGCTCGAACGATGGCCTCAGCTGTGTGGTCCTGGTTACCCAAGATGTGCATCAGCCGCGCAGCCTGGCGCTGTGGCCACAGCGTGGCCAAATGTTCTGGACCGACTGGGGCAACAAGCCAATGATAGCGCGTGCTTCCATGGATGGCACACGATCCCAGCCGATTGTTGCCGATAATATTCACTGGCCAAATGGCATTGCGTTGGACATGCATCAGGAGCGCATCTACTGGGTGGACGCCAAGCTGGGCAGTGTTCAGACCGTGCGTCCAGATGGCAGTGCACGCCGCACCGTGCTTGATGGCATGCTAAAGCATCCGTACGGACTGGCCGTATTCGAGGATCAGCTGTACTGGTCAGATTGGGGCACCAAGAGCATCCATGCCTGCAATAAGTTCTCCGGGAAACAGCATCGCATATTGGCACGCGATCGCATCATCTATGCCGTCCACGTCTATCATCCGGCCAAGCAACCGCAGGTGCCGCATCCCTGTGAAACGGCGCGCTGTTCGCATCTATGTCTGCTCGCTGAACTGGATGCTGGTGGCTATTCATGCGCCTGCCCGGAGGGCATGACCCTGTCACCGGATGGACATCGCTGCAGCCAAACCGAGAAGAAGCAGCGTCTGTTTATTGGACTGCGCCAGGTGCTGCTCGAGATCGAGCACACTTCGTTCGGCCGTCATGTAGTCAGCGCGTCGCACACCCTGCCCTGCCACATCAGCGAACTGGCCTACAATAGCATCAATAGCACCGTCCTCATTGCGGACAATATGCAGCGGGCCATTTTCGAGTACGCTCCCCATCCCAGCGAGCAGCGCCTGATCATTTTAGTCAACCGCAATCTGGGCAATATCAGCAGCCTGGCATTTGATCATTTGGCACAAAATCTCTACTGGGCAGACATGGAGCGTCATGTTATTGAGCTGCTGTCGCTGCGCACCGGACACCGTGCACTGGTGCGCTTCTTTGCCGGAGATGAGCTGCCCATCGGTCTGAGCGTGATGCCAGCGGAGGGTTATATGTTCGTGGCGCTCAAGGCGCGCCGGCACACGCATATCGATCGCGTGGCATTGAGCGGACGCGGCGCCCAGACGCATGTCTTTGAGGAGGATCTGGGCGATGATGACATCAAGTTTGCTGTCGATCAAGAGACGCACACCATGTACTGGTCGGACAGCGATACGAGTCGCCTCAGCTTCAGCAACTATCGCCAGACGCATGCGCAAATGTTTCGCGGCAAGTTCCGGCGACCCTACGCTCTGGCCTTGGTCAATCAGGATCTGTTCTGGAGCGAGCTCGGCACACCGGCCATCTACTGGACGCACAAGAGCAACATGGGCCCCAACAAACGCATCGAGATCGAAACGAATCCGCATCTGGGTAGCGATGGTCCCGCTGCAGCAGCAGCCGCCGCCGCCTATCTGCACCACACGCTGCCCGTTCGCATACCGCTTACGGCCAGCAGCCGAGTGGCTGCCAGTTTAAGGCCGCATCCCTGTCAGCAGGGCAACGGAGGTTGTTCGCATGTGTGCGTCAGTGCCGGACAATTTGAGAGCGCGTGCCTCTGCCCCGCCGGCTTTGTGTATCGCGATGCCTTCAATCGCAGCTGCACCGAGGCCCTGGACTGTGAGTTCCGTTGCCGCTCCTCCGGCGAGTGCCTGACCATGGCACATCGCTGCAATGGTCATCAGGATTGCGCCGACAGCTCCGATGAGTCCGACTGCGACACCATCAAGCGCGTCAAGGTCAAGTGCGGAATCTCCCAATTCACCTGCCATGACGGCGAACGGTGCCTGGATAAGAGCAAGCGCTGCGATGGACACAAGGACTGCGATGACAACTCGGACGAGCTGCACTGCTCCCAATTTGGTACGTGATTGTCCATCACTCGGATCGGTCTGTCAATCATGCATTTCCATTTCGTTTCCAGATAAAACCAAGCTCTGCCACGCCCACCAGCTCGCCTGCGACAATGGCAAGTGCGTGGATTACAGTTTGGTGTGCGATGGCAAAAACGATTGCGGCGACAACTCGGACGAGCTGCGTTGCAAGGAGGCCGCCAGCTGTGAGCGTGGCATGTTCCAGTGCAGCAGCGGCTCGTGCATTGCCAGCAGCTGGGAGTGCGACGGACGCATCGACTGCAGCGATGCCTCCGATGAGCACGACAAGTGCGGCCAGCGCCAGTGTCCCGAGCAGATGCATCGCTGCCTGCTGGGCCAGTGCCTCGATGCGCGGCTCGTCTGCGATGGCCACAACGATTGCGGCGATCTCTCCGATGAGCTCAACTGTGAGCAGCGCAAACCCGCTGCTGGTGCTGCCGTCAACATAAGCTGCGGCACCCTGGCCACGCCCATGTATCAATGCACCAGCAATATGCAGCTATGCCTGGACATGGCAGTGCGCTGCAATGGCAGCGCCGAGTGCCCGCGCGGCGAGGACGAGGCCGACTGCGGCGAGCTGTGCAGCATCTACGAGTTCCAGTGCCGCGACAGCAAACAGTGCATACGCCAGGAGTTCCGCTGCGACAAGGAACGCGACTGCGACGACGGCAGCGACGAGGAGCACTGCGAACAGTTCACCCATGGCAATGGGACGAGCAGCCAGCAGGCGGAGAATGTGAGTGCAAGGCGCGCCTGTAAGCCCCATCTGTTCGACTGTCACGATGGCGAGTGCGTGGACATGTCGCACGTGTGCAACGGCTTTCCAGACTGCACCAATGGCAACGATGAGGGTCCGCAGTGCGCCAGCGCGTGCAGCAAGCCTCTGTGCCAGCACAGGTGCCAGGCAACGCCGGCGGGCGCTGTCTGCACATGCCTGGAGGGCTATCGATTGGCCAGCGATCAGCGCAGCTGCGTCGACATTGATGAGTGCGCCGTCTCCGCCGAGCAGCAGCCGTGCGCCCAGCTGTGCGAGAATACGCCGGGCAGCTATCAGTGCCAGTGCCATGCGGACTTTATGCTGAACCAAGATCGCAGCAGCTGCAAGAGCATACAGTCCGGTGCCCCGCTGCTCTTCACCAGCTACAACGAGGTGCGCAATC